GCTATTATGTTTACACTATATTGTGATTAGATGGTAATCAAGTTTACTATACTTTGATGAATTTTTGTACTTCAGGGGAAGGATTGTGGTGGTAACTTGATGGGGAGTCTGTTTTGAGAGAGGATAGTGCTATTCCTTTTATATATGACTGGATTGTCTATTTTCAAAGCCTGTGTTAAAGTGACAATAAATCCAGTTTAAAAAAATATATTCAGGTATGTATTTTTAACTCAAAAAGTACCTTCTAATGCTTTCAGCCTTCTTCAAACCTCTAAATTCCTTTTTTCCTGCTGTAATCTGACTTCCAGATAGACGGAGGCTATGTTCCTTTCTCATGGTCCCATGATCTATCTTCTGTGACTTCCAGGCTGGGTCCTTAGGATGCCCTGTGACATTAGTGGGACTCAATATTGGGGTTCTGATTGCTAGGGAAGGAGCCTAAGAACCCAAGCTCCTTCACTATCAGGGCCGTTAATTGCCTTTGCTAAGTCACACAGCTTCCCAACTGGCTGGCTGCTTATGCACTCAACACTAGTGCTATAGTCATTAGCAACAGCAATATAGCCTCCTACGAATAGCTTTGTTGCATGTTAAACATTTGTACTGTATCTTCTCTAACTTGTCTAGTCCCCTAATAAGCCCTGTTTTTGTGATACGCCATGTATACATGCACTTCTTTAATATTGTCCTGAAGTAACTTCAGGCCAGGCCAAGTTACATAACAATTTTACTGAAGTTTAAATATAACAAATGAACAGTTCAACAAAGATGTCTTCAACACACATTCCTGTACTAATCCTTTTAAGTATCCTTTTTCTTAGTCCTCTGGTGTCCCTGCTTGATCCTTGAGACAGTCATGCCTTAAATAGATGATAAAGTCCTTAGAGTCCTTTTTTAAAGCAAGAGTGTTTACGTTGGAACCACAACTGGACTCCCACAAGGAGGTGGTTAAGTGCAAAGTAGTGTCTCACGTGCTTAGAAGCTACTCTTCCTTAGATGGGTAGACCTGGAACCCAACCTCTTGCTGCCTTACTTACTGTTGCACCCTTGAGATGTGGTTCCCTTCCTTTTTATGTGCTTGCCCCAGCAGAGAGTTTTATTTTATTGACCAGCAGAGTTAACCCTTACCTCCCACAGAATATCACCTCAGCAGGGCACACACAGCTAAACAGTGCTACATGATAACACTAATTCTAATCACATATACAAACTACGAAACAGTGAAATATTTTTAAATATCATAATATGTTCACTATTCACCTGTTTACATGTCTAACCAGAGCAATCAGACAGGACTAGGTTGGTAACCTTGGCTTTCTGTTACGTATTGTATACAGTATGTTGCAGTACAGGAGCTGTAGAGGCTCAAAACAAACAGGGGTTGAATTATTAAAGAAAAATTCATGGTTTCCTTTGCATGTTGCAGGGGAATTTTCCCTAGGACTTTGTGAATGAGGTGAAGCTCTGCAGATTTTAATCCTCCAATCACGTGCAAGAAGAAAATGCATTTTTTTTAAAAATGTTTGTTTCATGTGATTAGGTATTCTTTGCAAAGTGAAACTTCACCACATTCGCTAAGCTCTGGGGAAGTCTCACTTGCGAAGTGCAATGCCCCTTGCAAAGTGAACTACTACCTATTTTGCTTTTAGTAAATAAACTCAAAGCCTTCAGCAGGTATTTTGGCTCTAGAGTAGCTGATGCTGCAAATTCCCAGTATAACTGGACCCATAGAAAAGAGGGGGGGGGTGGTTTTCCAAACAGTAGGAACCTCTGGGCTTAGAGGTAATTGGATCATTTAAAACATACACTCACGGCATGCTGATTTGTAAACTGGGTATACACAATTAGATTTTGCTTGATTACCCCATCCACACAAGCATAATGGATGGAGGAATCCTGGTCTGGTGGGGACTTCTTTCAACAAAAATTGGGTTTCTTATCTGGAGCTAAATGAAAGTGATGTGGATGCAAACATATTTTTAACCAGCACCTCTCTAGCTTCTACTCAAAATGCAAGCAATAGTTTTGGGTGGTGGACTTTAAATCTTTACTGGACTGCATTTGAAGGAGTCATTACAGATGGGTGCTCAAATGAGATTTTGTTTAGTCTTGCACCAATATGAAAGCAGACAGCAACATCTTCAGTATCTGTGCTGGTGCTGCAACCCTTGTTTAAGCCAGAGGTTATATCAGGTGCTTTTTTAAATAAATGGTAGTTGTTTATTTGCAAAGAATGTTCATATGTACGAAACTAAGTACTGATATCTTCTTTTTTTATGCAGATATTTATCTTTTTTTAATGTAGTTTTAAAAACATATTACATAAATATTTACTGCACACTATAGGATATACAGTATTTAAAAAGGAATGTACAGTGGTTTTATACGCTGCTTAAGGTGATTGTAGCCGTATTAGTGCATTTGCGACAGGAACAATTGAGTACTGTCCGTGATACTTTTTTTATTTGCACTAACATACAATTTTGAGGACAAGCTTTCGGGGAATGTCCCCTTCTACAGGTCTAAGCAGTACTCCTTAGACCGTACTCAATTGTTCCCATACGCTGCTTAAAAATATTAAAGAAACACTTTGAAAACACATCATATCTCAATGGGGAAAAATATCATGCTGGATATCTATACTGAAATGGACTGGGTAATGTGTTAGAAATGTAAGGATGCCCCATCGTTTGATGAAAATGAAAATTATCAACCTACAGAGGACAGAATTCAAAGACACCCTGAAAATCAAAGTGGAAAATGATGCAGCAGGCTAGTCTATTCACCATCCGGGGTCCCCTTTTAGAGCAGATTCATGTTGTACCTTTAAATAAACTCAGTTTATATGGTATCACACTATGTGGTGTCCCTTATTGGGCTCTCTTCTATGAGAGTCCCCACTTGCAGAATCTGCTCTAAAAGGGGACCCCGGATGGTGGCACGCCTGAGACACGCTTATGAAATTTGAAGTATATACCCAAGGTGCGATTGGAAGGTGTAGGATCCTGTCCCTATCTTGGCCATTGATGATCGCTATCTGATATCACAGGATAAATCTTACATGCGTTTTTTTTTTGACGCACTTCTGGTGAGTGCGCAATTTTTACCTCAGATTCACCGTGTGATACACAGAATTTCATCCTACGCACATACTAGAATCTATTGGATCCCCACTTTTGACCTATTTTGGGACTTGTTCATCTCACTTAACCTCACCGCAATGTGATTTGACATTTGCACTTTATTATATATGTTATATATGCCATTTTACTATTATAGCGCTGCACCTTATATAGACTCTCATATGTCCATAGACTCCATATACAAACTGTCTAAATTATTCAGCTTTTGCTTGCAAGGTGTATCTTTCAGGGCAGTTAAAATGATCAATGAAGACACTAAACTGACAATCACTAAAGTATCTGATGCAGTCTGGGACCCTCTACTAAGCAGATGCTACTTGATTGGAGTCATTGGCATCAAATGCAGAAGTTGCAGCATTAGCTGGACATCCCTGTTGATTGTACCTTGTAATGTGGGCTGGATGAGACTAGAAGTAACTTTTGCTTGTGAACGATTCTCTTAGTCGATATCCAGGCAAATAGCTAAATACATAGGTGGAATAAATATATGGGGTTTGCTTTACCTGGTACCCAGAAGTGCTAGCAGCAAGCCTGGGATGCGACAGCAGCCAGATGAGGTCAAAATGTGAGAAAAGCATGAGATATCATCCAGCATGATTCTGGAAAGATGAATACTTCTTGATGGTGATATAGGGGACTCTAGCCATACTAAATTATTTTAGTTTGGTACACAACAGAAAGTGAGCCTCAATCCCGTGGAGTGTGAAAACACAGAAGAAGAGTATTTGGCACTGTTGGATTTTTGCTGAATAACAAATCTGGATAACACTATTGTGTGTGGACGGTTGCACAGTATGCTGTGAAGAGTGACCACATATCACGGCATCACTTTATAGGATGTTATTTTGCACTGTAACATATAGGAGAATGCTTAGCTATTGATGTTTTTAATTTAATAGAAGAATAGTGATAGAGCTGCATCTTAGTATAAATAATTTTTAACAACCACAACAAAACAGCTGACATTCCACTCAGTATATCTCAGGTTAAGATAGATATAATGGATTTGGATCACGCAAAAGGCTTTTTATAGAATTCACCCAGAGATGTGGGACATCTCCCCAACAGTATTAATACATTTTAATGAAATATGCATGGATTACATATACAGTGTATAAATAAAAAAAAAGTATAAATAAAACAGTATGAATTTCCCTTTTTTTTATACAAAACAAAAAGGTACAAAGAGATTGCACTGAAAAAAAATTTCACACTTGCTGATGGATTTCTCTTCCAAGGCCTAGTAACCGTACCAGCATACCAGTCATGGCTCTTTATGATAATCACTCTTGCTTACATTATGACTGTGGTTGCAAATTCTATGGTTATATCTGTTGTATGCTTTGATTCCCATCTACACACTCCTATGTATTTCTTTTTGGTTAGCCTTGCTATAATTGAGTTATTGTATACTACAGCAATCACTCCAAATACTTTAAACAATGTGCTAAAGGAAGCCAAAGGAATCTCATTTGTAGGCTGTTTTGTTCAAATGTTTACATTCATAACTTTAGAAGGCTCGGAATGCATTCTGCTTGGTATCATGGCATATGATAGATATGTCGCCATATGCCAACCTCTATTGTATACTATAATCATGAATAAGTCCATTTGCATCTATATGACAATTATCTGCTGGACTATTGGGTTAATAACTTCAATAGTGAACACTGCTCTTACGGCTACATTACCCTACTGCCGTGACCGTCTTATTAGTCATTATTTCTGTGAGATTCCACCACTTTTGAAGATATCTTGCAAGAAAACGTACATTAATGAATTAGTGGTCTTTATTTTTGGTGGCAGTGTGATACTGGGTTCTCTTCTTCTCTTATCTCATACATCTTTGTCATACGGGCAGTAGTCAAGATCCCCAGTGCCAGTGGAAAGAAAAAGGCTTTCTCCACATGTACTTCTCATCTCCTCGTGGTCAGCATGTTCTTTGGGACAGCTATCTTAACATATCTCCGTCCATCTTCACAGTCATTCTATAATAGGGATCACATATTTTCTCTGGCATATACTATAGTTACTCCATTTATCAATCCTCTATTATACAGTTTTAGGAATAAAGAATAATCAGAGGGCACTATGGAAAATCATACAGCGGTGGAGAGCAACCTGCTTATAGAGGTGTCATGTTTTCATAGCTGCTACTATACGTAACAAGAAAACATATGATGAATTTTGTTCTGGAAGGAAACATAACCCAAAATCCAAACAGATACTGTAGTCACTGCTCACACAAAAATCAGAATGGTGATCCAGCAAATGAGAAAGAGGTCAGATGTGAGTGGCATATGCCGTGTGCAGTGTTAATCAGTTGCATGCTGCATATGCCACTCATGTTAGCCCCTTCTTAATATTTTGTGAATTTGTTTGGAATGTAACGTTACAAAAACTAAAAACTGAATGCAATAAGGACAAATAAATTAAATTATGGGTATAAAGCTTAAACCATATAAAAAAAAAAACAACCAGAAAGGAGCACCAGACAAATCGGATGAGAGAGTCCAACGTATTAAAACAATACTATATTTTCTTTCTTTCCTAAAGCATTTTTTTCCAATGCATATTGCATTTTCCTTCAATGTTAAAAATTGTATTTCTTATTTGTATAGCTGTTCCAGTACAACCTGTACTATGTTTCATAAGAGACATAATATATGTTCCATTGGAGTGACACAATCTGTTGCAGTTATGAAGTTTTCAATAAGTTAGAATAAAACTCTGATGACTGATTTTTTTTTTATCAAATTAATATTCAATGCATATTTTTCTAGTTTCTGTACATGGGTGGAAACATTGGTGAATGCAGATCACACTGATGATATATGTATCATCATTTTGCAGTTTTTTTTAGCCCTCATTAAATATTTCAATTCCATTTCATACCAATACATTTTAATATCTATATTTTAATGGGAACTTTTTCCCTAAGAGTTTATGGATAGCTGGCAATGAAAACATTAGGTTAGACCATAGACTTGTGCTTATCATCTAAAATATACAGCCACATTCCAACACCAGGCTCTGGAAGATATAGTACCATTGGAGCATGACCCTACTATTGAGGTTTCTATCTTGGTTTTTGTGACCTGGGGAGTCAGTTCTTGTGTAAGAATTGTGTAGGTCTGAATAAAGGGTATCAGGGTTATGTATACACTGCACATCTAATAAACACAGAGAATGGAGAACCTGTTTTACTTTATGGGGATAGGACTAAGAGTGGTGTTTGGAAGACTGAAATGTGTCTAGTAGTGGGTTAAGGGCTAGGTTACACAATCCAGGAGAATAGGACCAATGGTAAAATCTATGAGGAGGGCAAGGCATTCTTCTAAAAACTGAAGCTGATGATGATTTGTAAGGTAAAGGTAAATTTGTACCAATACAGTAGTCCTTTGGCCATGTACATGTGATCGCTGTGACCATTCACTGCTAGACAAACTAGTATACAATGGATGGCATGAAAGGAAGCCATCCATTGTATACAACTGTTATGTGACCTGCTGTGATTAGTCACAGCAGGTCACATGGTACTGGAAACGGAGTCGGTACACAGATCTGTCATCGGCCGTGTCCGAGTGACAGATCGCGCCACAGATTGGCCCTGCGGGCAGGCGCACTGCTCGTGCCTGAAAGGACGCCATATGGCGTCCACCCGGAGGGACGAGGTGTTTTGCCAGCCGCCTTTGTGCTATTGGCCGGGCAGGAGCCGGTTAAATTAGTATCAGTGCCAGTTAGTGTCAATGTGTTTTAGGCAGGATAAAAAAAAAATGCGCACCATTGTTTGTCCTACTACAGGTACAAACAACTAACATACACATATTGCATCGCTGCGATCGTCAGGAGAATTTATTTTGGGGTGTTCTTTGGTGGTAAATTATAAGAGCAAAAAATTTACAGCTAAATTTAAAAAACATGATTTTGTTATTATTTTGTGCAAGGTTTCTTTTAATAATTAATCACTTGCCATCCAGAGGATTTACCCCCCTTAATGACCAGGCCTCTTTTTGCTATTCGGTGCTGCACTATTTCAACTGATAATTGCTCGGTCATGCAATGCTGTACTCAAACAAAATTTACGTCCTTTTTTTCACAAAAATAGAGCTTTCTTTTGGTGGTATTTGATCACCTGTGCACTTTTTATTTTTTGCGCTATAAAGTGTATATTGATTGCTTTGTGTGAAAGTCATAGCGTCTACAAACTATGGTATAGATACTGCAATTTACACCATTTTTTTTTGCTATACAGTGCTGGACTAGTTTAACTGACAATTGCGCGATCATGCAATATGGTACACAAATTAAATTTACTTCCTTTTTTTCACACAAATAGAGCTTTCTTTTGGTGGTATTTGATCACCTGTGCGCTTTTTATTTTTGGCGCTATAAACAAAAAATTTTGAAAAAAAAATTCTCATTTCTCTCGTATAAAATATCCAAAAAACTAAAATTTCATCATAAATTTAGGTCAAAATGTATTCTGCTACATGTTTTTGGTTAAAAAAATCCCAATAAGTATATATTGAGTGGTTTGTGTAAAAGTTATAGCATCTACAATCTATGGTATAGATAATGGGATTTACACAGCTTTCACTTTCTGACTGCCCATCACACTTGAGCTGCTAAAATACCAGGACAGTACAAACACCCCCAAATGACCCCTTTTTGGAAAGTTGACACCCTAAACTATCTGCTGAGAGGCATATTGAGTCCATGAAAGATATATTTTTTTCCACAAGTTTTTGGAAAATGACAAAAACATTTTTTTTTTTTTTTTACACAAATGTTGTCATTTAAATTATATATTTCTCACACAAGCCATGGGTATATGTGGAATTACACCCCAAAATACATTTTGCTACTTCTGCTGAGTATGGGGATACCACATGTGTGAGACTTTTTGGAAGCCTAGCCACATACAGGAGTCTGAAATCCAATGACCACTTTGAAAACCTGAAGGTGGGTAACTTCCTCATTGCATGTCCTCACTACCTATCACAGTTTTGGAGGCCCTGAAATGCCAGGATAGCACCAACCCCCCCCCCCCCAAATGAGCCTTTTTTGGAAAGTGGACACCCCAAGGAATTTAAAAAGAGGCATGGTGAGTATTTTGCAGATCTCATTTTTTCTCACAAGGTTTTGAAATATAATTAAACAAAAGAAAAAATATGTTTTTGTTTTCTTTCTTCAGTTTCCAAAAACTTGTGGCAACAAACGAGATCTGCAAAGTACTCATTATGTTTCTTATCAAATTCCTTGGGGTGTCTACTTTCCAAAAAGGGGTCAGTTGGGGATGGGGGGGTGGTGCTATCCTGGAATTCCAGGGCCCCCAAACCTGTGATACGTAGTCAGGAAGTGTAATGAGGAAATAAAATCCTTTAAAAGCCTAAAGACTGCCAAAAAGTATCTTACATGTGGTACCCCAAAACTCAGGAGAAGTGGCAGAATGTATTTTTGGGGAGTAATACCATGGCATGAATGAGCAATAAATCATTTAAGTGACAATTTAGTGTAAAAAAAAAAAAAAAAAATTTTTTGTCATTTTCCAAAAATAAATAAATTCTATTGACACAACATGCCTCTCAGCAAATAGTTTGGGGTGTCTACATTCCAAAAAGGGGTCACTTTGGGGGGTGGGGGCATTTTATGCCCAGCATTAGAAGTTTTTTCAACACGTCATTGACTCTTCTAACCACCTGAAGACCAAGCCTTTTCTGACACTTTTTTGAACCCCCAAACATTATATATTTTTTTAAAGCAGTCACCCTAGTGCAGTGGTCGGCAAGCCGCGGCTCGCGAGCCACATGCGGCTCTTTACACGCTTTAATGCGGCTCTTGTGTGCCGGGCGCCCGCTCCCCTCCCTCCTCTCGGGCGGCAGGGACTCTGCAGCGTGATCCAAAAAAAAAAAACAGCCAGGGCAGTGCGCTCAAATGCAATGATTGGCCAGTCTCGCTGCCACTCACATCCTGATAGCCAGTGATTGGCTGTCAGGATGTGTGTAGGCGGGGCAGCGTGACGAACGTGAGAGGAGCTAGGCTCCTCTCACAGTCCGCCCTGAAGACCGGAACGGCGCGGGAAGACGGCGAGAGGAACGCGCGGAGCAAAGGTAAGTGAATTGACACAGGGGGGACTTGGCTTACTACTTGCTACTTACTTACTACTACTATATGATGGATTAATTAATATGGGGGATGAATTACTATAGGGGGGATGAATTACTATGGGGGATGAATTACTATATGGGGGATGAATTACTATATGGGGGATGAATTACTATATGGGGGATGAATTACTATGGGGGATGAATTACTATATGGGGGATGAATTACTATGGGGGATGAATTACTATAAAAACTTATTGAAACTAAAAACAGTGTACCATCCTATGTATTTTCAGTTTTAAAAATGTGGCTCTCAAAATAAATTTCAATCGTGGTTTTGGCGAGATTTGGCTCAGTTGAAAAAAAAAAGGTTGCCCACCACTGCCCTAGTGAATAAAATGGTGCTACAATTTTTTATGTCACATAGTACTCACACAGTGATTTTTCATAATCAAATTTTTTGAAAAAAAAAAAAATACACTTTTTTTACTTTAATGCACAAAAACATAATATATTGGCCAATTATTTGGAAAAATATAAAACATGACAGTATGCCGAGTAAATGGATACCAAGCATGACATACTTTAAAACTGCGCATGCCCCATGCAATGGCGACACACTGCATACATGTTTAATATCACTAGCAAGCCTTTACAAGCTGACATTCTAGATTTACAGAGGAGGTCTAGTACTGTAATTACTGCCTTTGATCTGATGTTCGCGGCGATACCTCACATGCATGGTGCAACTGCTGTTTACATACCTAAACAAGGTCAATACTTTCGTACGCAGGTGCGCGTGCGGGGGGGGCAAGGGTGTTTTTTTTTTAAGTTATTTTGATTTGATTATTTTTTACACTGTCCCTTTTATTTCTTTTTTTG